TCATATTCAACTTCTATTAATTATTTTAATAAAAACCAAATTACTTTCATATTTCAATAGCTGAATGTTTATTTAAAAAATCATCTCTTTTCAAAAGCTACGAGTGAAAGGTTACATAATATTCTGAATATTGTTTTTGTTTATATCATGCTGAAAGAGATCTAATTTGTTCCATCTCTCTATGAAAACATATCAAGTACCATAAGAGATTAGTGAATAGTTTTAGATAGATTTTATTCAGTTACAATGTACACTTACATGTCTAACACATGAATTTCAAATGACAGAGAAATATGTCTATAGTTTTTACATAACATATTAAATATTTTTCTAATTGAAAAACATAAAATTTCTTATATGAGTATTTTCTGAAAGAGAGATGCGACGAAACGATCGTATCTCCTAAATCTACCACTACTAGTTGTACTTGGAAAGTAGTTTCACTTCACTGGAAAGCGATTTGCAGCGAATCCATTTATGAAATACTCAAATCCTAACATAAGATATTCTACATGAAGCAATTACATTTGTCCTTTTCAATTGATTTATTTTTTTCTTTAAAATTCTTTCATTTTTATTCAAATATTTAGTAGATTAAGTTTCTTAATAAGATAATAACTAAATAAATTTTTCTTTGATATATTGAAAGAAAGATTTCTATATGAGATAAAATAGTTGATTTTGTGTGTATACTTTATTTAGTCTGTCAAAAAATAAAAATTCACTAAGTACTCATAAAGAAAATTTCTTAGGAGAAAGTTATAACATAAGATAAAAATTTTAGGAATAAAATTTTCTATCCTCCGCGTTCTTTTATCCTCTAATTTTATATAGCCTATATACAAGAAGTAAACAAGTTATACAGTATTGATCCTTTTGATATTTGTGTTCAATGCATCCAAACATCATTTTTAACATTTATTTCTATATGTATATATAAAGAGCAAAAAGCTTATACTATTTTGTTTTTCTTTTTCTTTTTTTCTTAAGATTTTTTTGAAATTTTTCTTCACTTGCACATTGATGCTAATATAAACATCAATGTATGATCATCATTGTCATTAGCTTAGATAGCTGGAAATAATTTTCTATAATTTCATTTCTCATACATAAACAAATTCGATTTGATATATTTTATATTATCTATAAAAATTTAAAACAAAAAGAAACAAGAAATTATTATTCATGATAATAAATTGATTTTATTATATAATTTTTTCATAGAAAAATTCTTTTCAATCACAAGATAGCATGTTTTTTCAATTTTTTATTTAGTGAATAAAAATGAAATGACAGTAAATATATTTATTTATTTATAATAAATTAAAAAATATTAATTGATAGTATATGTTGAGAAAAAAAAAATATTAAAACAATTGCTGTTTATTTATTTAATAAATAATATCTTATTATTTATAATATCAATTGAATTATATGATATTAAATATCAGAATAATTGAAACATTTCTCTATTTACTTTTATTTTTCATTTTTTTTTCGAACGATGATAAACATAAGCATATGTGAATTAAATTGACGATTATGGAACGCCCTCTTTCATATTTTAGAGGTTACATTGAATATTAATTGAACGAGGCTTTTCTTTATGTATATAATAGTCATTATATTGTCTTTATGTATATAATAGTCATT